TCTGAAAGTGATGCCCCATAATTTATTAGGAATTTGCTGAAGTTTAAGCAAGAGTAAGCTAGGATGCCAACTCTTTAGTAAGACACCACATAACCATTCATTTAATTGTTGTGAAAAGTAAGCATGAGTTGATTTGTTTTAAATGCAATGTCAAATTTGTTTTATTGATTTTAAGGCATTAAATGCGATGATTAAAAAAGAATTAAATTTTCAAAATTTCATTAAACTACATATAAAAAAAAAAAATCAAGAACATTGGGGAGGTTATAGGTTAGTTACTTGTATGCTGGAAAAGTTAATAACATAAATGGTATTGAGATATGTAGTAGATAAAGTGTTGAAAGGTAAAATTATTGAGTTAATAATATTAGTGATGGGACTGATTGGTATTATGATGATTATTAATGAAGACCTTTGAATGTGATTAGTACATATGCTTCTCAAGTTGGATTTGTAGATAGTTTAAAAATTAATTTTCTGAAAAAAAAGGTGTACAATTACCTGAAGAAAAAACACTTACCGAATGCGCTTTAAATGGTCAATTATATTCAATTACGGAGAGCTATAAGAGGTTTCATGATGTTTTTAGTAAGAATTATAAATGCACGATGGAAACTATTTTAATTTCTATATTAGCCTGTGGTTTCATAATGTCGAATACATATGTTAAATAATGACAACATTTACTTAACAATGTTGAAATATCAAAACATAAATAGATGTCTTTTTATTTACATGGAAAAAAAGTATTTAGTAAATGATTGTAAAGTGATTCCAAGAGATTTTGACCAAACATCAAGTAGTGATTATTCATGTATATATTAAGTTTATTAAAAGACAAATCAAAATAACTTGTTACATTGAGATAATGTGCTGGCTTTCGCAAGGTGCAAAAATGTGTTCAAAATAGATGGTTAAGGGAAGCAATGTGAATTCTTTAGTGAGCAAAAAAAAAAAATATATATATATATATATATTTTCAGCCCAAATGAGTTTTCATTATGATAATTGGTATAGAAGAGGAGATTTTTAAATTATAAGGATGTTTAATAATGAAATTGAGATGTATGGTGGTTACTAAGGAAAAGAATGTACTTGTAAGATCGAGCAAAAAATGAATATTAATAAACATTCTAATGGTTAGAAGAAAACTGCAAGTCTTATGAAAGTGGATTGAAATACAATAATTTTTTTGGTATTTATTATTGAATAGGTCCATAGGAAAACTAAATGATATGTATTAAATAGTTGGCTGTTATTGGAAATATTATAGTAACCTGTTTTGGTTAACAAAACTTTTTATGAAATTTTGAAGACTTAAGATGATGCAAAATGATTGTTGAAGAAATATTTTGGTTTCATCATCAAAATTAAATTATATGTTCTAGCATGTGCTAATTATAAAAGATTCAAACTTAGTCTTATGTTGAAGCCATGTGGGAGAGTAGTAGGATTTAGAGACCAAGGAAATAAATATGATAGCTATAGAATTGCTAGGTATCTGATCAACGATCTAGAGATTTTGATAGTGTTAGATGCACCAGAAACGGTTATAATATATTTTTATTAAAAATTAAGGCATCAAGAAGAGATGAACATGCCTTGATAAGGTGAAGTTTATTTATTTAATTTTTTAGGATTTAAATTTAAAGCTCATATAATTTTTAGGGTCGTTTACATACATAGCGCACAAAACACTGCTATTTACAAATGCAACACCCTTTTTCGTCCATATTTCAAATACTCACTCAAATATCAAAATTCATGATAAAATCCAAACCCATATTTTTCATCTTCTATCAAATTGTCAATGGTTTGATCGTGGCACATGTAAATACATCTATACTGTAGATCAAAAATATCACCCTAGTGTTAGATTTTTTTAAATAGCAATGTTTCGGGTGCTATGTTTGTAATTATTCCTTTCTTGTTCTTTCTTCAATTTTAGCTAAAACACACCAACTACAAGCCCATAAGAACATTATGCATTGTAATATCCAAGCTATCGTAGGCACATCCAAACTTGCAAGCCTTATGTTTACAAATTACAAGTACTAAACATGTAAGCTCTGGAACCACAATCCCCATATTCCATAACAAAACTCAGAGAATGGTAGGATTGGGAACTGCCTTATTGTAGAAATGAAAATCCATGAGTTGATGGTTTTTTATTTCATTGCTTATGCGAAACTAGGTAGTTCTAGGTTTCATTTCACAATGACGGCTGGTAAAATCAACACCTTTGATCATGTTGGCACTTTTGCATTAATTAACCTGACTTCGGAAAATTTTGCAAGGATCACTTGATCTTTTGATATCCATAAAGCAAATTTGAACATAAATTTTGTGTTACAACTTGTGATGCTATTGTACCAACTATTACTGGAAATTGGCATCAATTGTATTCACAGTCTATTACCATAATAACATTAAGAACAAACTGTATAAAAGTATTCAGCTGAAAATTTGTTATATATTCGCATGTAGGAGATGGAAATAGAGAAGCGAAGGAATATATTGGCGTTAGGTTCTTGAAATAAGGTCAAATCAAACATATTGAAAATTAGATTTATAACTTAATTTCTTTGATTTTTCAATACCTACGTATTTGTTCTTCCAAATGTTTGCAAAATTATAAATAGTATTGGCTTTCTTTAATCTTATTTCTTATTGTTTCTTGATGGAAACCTTTTTAAATTTTGAATGCACTATGTCTTCATCAGGTTTAAATATTACATATCTACTGCTCACTTTTAGAGAAAGTTTTAATTATGATATTTAATAGGCTATGCCTTTGAATATTCTTATACAAGCCATGCAAATTATGCAAAATATATGAGGTTATTTGTCTATGTTTTTTATCAACCCATGATAACTTTATGGCAAAACTTCTCTGAAATATTTTAGTATGCCCTATTATTTTTAATTTGGCATATTTAACTCTTTGTGAATCATATAGATTATGTTAAAAAAAAATCTTTCAAATGATTCATTCACTTTGAGAATTTTCTAAAATCTTATGTACCATAGAATATTGAAATGTAATTTTGAACCCATTTTTGTGACACTGTTCTTCTAAAGCTAAAAACATAATCTATTTTTTATAAAATTCATCGTTTAAATTTTTAACTGACGGAGATTTTCTTAGATTTAGTTGATATGGAGATGAAGCTATAACTTTTGTTACAATTTGATGTGGAAATGAAGTTTTCTAATATGATTAATGTGATGCACATTGTGATTTAATGCCAAGGAACATAGGGATTCATAAATCTAAGTCAATCATTAATTGAAGTACTTTTTTAAAAAAATATAAACAATCAATGCTAAAATCATACCCAAATGAAAATTATATGATTGAAATAATTTGATGAAATCTACAATAATTTAGAACCATTTAATTATTGTTTAATTTCCAACAAAAAAATCTCAATTTTGCCAACTATGAGCAAAAATATAAAGCACTATGAAGTTAATATCAAATTATGTAAGATTAAATAAGTACATTAATAAATGTTTTTAAAGAAGAAAAGATTGCAGGCTCTATACAAATTTAAATAGGCAATCTTCCTTAAATTTAGTTAGTTACTTGTACAATCAATACATTAAGAAATTAAATTTCAAACTTGCACTAACAAGTTATAATATTGCAAAGTGTAATTTTGTTCAACCAAAGTTTTTAATTACTTGTGTTAGAATATATATTTATTACCAATCATCCATAGGCTAAATGTTATGGTTGGCATAGGATCAGTTCAATTCATATTTAAATTAAATCCCAAAAGAAAAAAAAAAGCAACTTCAATTTTAAATTTAAAACCATAGAATTTTTATCCATAATTGCTGAAATAAGCTAGCTGAAAGCCTCAATATTGAAACATAGCTACCAAATACACAAGCTGAGGAGCTGTAGCCTATCACATAAAGCCAAAATAGTATAGAATTGGAGTTGCCCCACTAGAAAATAACATTGAAAGGTGGACGAACTCAATGTACACCTAACTGAAAGCCAATAATTTCAAGTTTTACTGCACAAGGGAGTTGATAAAAGCCAAATATCACCATCTAAGGGCGTTGATAAAAGGCAAATAACAACGTATAAGGTAGTAATTTCATGTGCACGTAAGTTCTTCAAAATCATTTATGAAGATTTGGTATAACAACGACTAATAACATTTGATACAGCACTTTGTAGAATGAATGAAAAATGAGGCTGTTTGTAGAATGCTGAGATGATTTTGTTAATCTTGCTAAAGAATAATCATGCCAAAATTATTCTCTAATAATTCTTACTAATTTTAATTATTTAATGTGTATATTTTGACTAATGATTGCCCTTACCATAAAATGAGGATAATTGGCTATTTCTTAAATGTTTGGTAGGATAGATGCGTAAATTATTAGCCTGTCACTCATAGAAATAAATTATTTTGCTAATATATAGTTAATCAATTTTTATGTTGCCAAATATTTTTGATGAATTTGAGAATTTATGACTTACTTATAGTTACTGCATAATGAATAATATGCTAATTTATTTCTAATTAGCTTAAATAAATTGATTATTTAATATCAAAATTTTGTAGTTAACCTCCAATTTTTTAGCTTTGATGCTTCAATGTTCCAGAGGGAAGTTCTGATACCCGTTGCAATTTCAGTGCTTTAGGTTTTCAAATATTTAGTAAGTTAATGAGCTGCTTGATTGAAATCAGAATTATTGCTTATTTTGTTAAGGTTCATTTTACATTGTTTTTTTTCGGTAAACTTCCATTTTTTATTTTTTTTGCCAATATACTTCAGTAGGGAATGGGTAATTTGAAATTGTGATTTTTCTTTTTTAAATAATAATTATTTTATGGATACATTGCAGGTAAACACTACTGCCACATTTCTGATTTGGAGGCGTTTATGGTAAACCTTTGAATTAAAAAAAGGTCGCAGAAGATTATTTTTTACTCACTGGGGGTACTACGCTCCAATTTTCTTTGGTTCTCCGTCAGTACAACATGAGTGCATCCCACAAGCCATTCTGGGAATGGATGTCATCTGCCAAGCGAAGTCTGGAATGGGGAAAACGGCTGTATTTGTTCTATCAACCCTTCAACAAATTGAACCAATTGCTGGTCAAGTTGCAGCGCTTGTCTTGTGCCACACTAGGGAACTGGCATACCAGGTTTGTGTCAAACAATAACTTTGATAGCTTTCCTTTTGCTTAAACAATGTCATCTTGTTGGACTTGATTTTTTTTATTTGTGATTAATACTAAATTGAAATTTTGCAGATATGTCATGAGTTTGAGAGATTCAGCACTTATTTACCTGATATCAAAGTTGCAGTATTCTATGGTGGCGTTCACATTATAAAACACAAGGATATACTTAAAAATGAATGCCCTCATATAGTTGTTGGCACACCGGGAAGAATTCTTGCACTAGCTAGAGACAAAGACCTTTCTTTGAAGAATGTGAGACATTTCATTCTTGATGAATGTGATAAGATGCTTGAGTCACTTGGTATGCTTAAAGTTTTCTTAATCTCCACAATACAAGTTCTGCCGGATGTTCTCTATCAGTCATGCTTTTGATTCCCTTGTGGACTTCTTTTGTTTATTTAATTTTTTATATTTTCATTTCATGATTTTGCATGTCATGTAGACATGCGAAGAGATGTTCAGGAGATCTTCAAAATGACTCCACATGATAAGCAAGTGATGATGTTTTCAGCCACACTCAGCAAGGAGATACGACCCGTTTGCAAGAAATTCATGCAAGATGTAATTCTCAATGGAAAGCTTAAAAGTCTTAATTCTTTACCTAATTGAACCTTTTTCATTGCTCCAGGTTTTTTTTAGTGATCTATTCTCTTTTATGGCTTGAAATTTTGTAATCTTAGGTGAGATGGTTAATTTTAGCATTCTGGGTTTCAGTTGCTCTGAGTAGCAATTTTTGGTGCTTGTTCTTATTGCTCATTCATCTCAACAAATTACTTTTTTCAAATTGCCTTTGTTATGACATCACTAAGTAACATGTAAAACCCAAAATATCATTTGTTCTTTTAAGTAATACATAAATCTGACATGGGCTTGCTTTGCTGCCCACAGTTGCATTGGTTGTTTTTATGCCCAAATTAGGCTCAAACATGGTCTGATGCAAGGGCAAATAGCAAAACATGTTTTAGGTTTTTCTCAATTAAAAATTAGTCAAATTTCTCCCACCAACACATCCATTATCACATTTTTTTACTAGCACATTTCGTCACTTTGCCATCTTCCAAGCCTAGCGGCTTCTTCACATGAACTTATGGGAGTTGATCTTCTCACCGATCTTTATGTCTTAGATTTGTCTCTGTTGAACAAGTAAAAATATACATGAACATTTAAGAAACTAAATATATATGAACATTTTGTATCAACTCATGAAAAAAGTAATTATACATGATTGTAAAAAGACAGCTAGAATGAAAATTAAACTATCATGGTAATAAAAACATCTATATTTATAAATAAAATTGCCCCTCTTTTATTGTTAAACATTTATACTTAAGACTCAAGTTCTCAACTGCTCAAAATTCAAGATATCATAACTGCCTAAAATTCAAGTTATTATAATTATGTTTACAAGCTTCATATTTAAAACAAAAGTAATGGTTGGGAATCGTCGTTGCTTTAAATCAAAATAGCCTCCTCGATCATCATCATCGTCAATATCTTTCAAATCTCAATCTTCTTGATTACCCTCATTATTTTCATATTGTTTTGCCGGAGTATTAAGCCTATTAAGCCTAAATGAAGAGTTATCTTTTCTTTGGGATAGCTCTTGAATATTGTAGTTTCTTTCATAAATTCTATTAGCTTTTACGAAAGCGCACTATGTTTGTCATCAAAGATGTCACTTGGAGTCATTGCCATCACCTTTGCTTGGAGTTGAAACTCTCACCATCTTGAAACTATCCCCAGTGTGTGTCAGAACCCTTTTGCTTGTTTTTCATCCATATCGACTCCTAGAAAAGTCTAGTAAAAACAGAAGTAACAAATAAAAAAGAAATTAACATAATATTAATATTAATATTAAGTAATAAGTTGGAGAAATTATAATTGTACATGCTATGAAGGCAATGAGTTATATTTTATCGTCCATACAAATAATGTGCTTTTTTGGTTCCTCATGCCTTTCCATGCAAGTAGTGCAAGGGTGCACCTTGCTGTGCGCTATTGTCATGTATGTTGTATTGTTAAGTTCCTCATGTTTTAACTGTTTTTTTCTTTTTAATTCGCTCTAATGATGCATGTCATTTCTTTTGTTATTTAAAAGATATTATATTTTATTGTTTGTTGCCTTTAGCCAAAAAGAATATTAGTATTAGGTGATTTAGTTACACATTTATATTAATAATTTATAGAAGAAAATGTTGTCCATATAATGTGACCTACTATTTATAACAGTCAATCAACGAATCCTAGTTATGGAGTGTCTTTGTCGCCATATCTCTGTTTGTGCTCCTTAGTTTTTTATGGTTTTTTGTGCTAGCGGGTGCACAATTCCTTAGGCACTGGGTGGTTGTATTGAGGATGACGTTGTAATCCAATACACTTTTTCATTTGTATCCTGACAGCCAATGGAGATTTATGTAGATGATGAGGCCAAACTGACCCTTCATGGTCTAGTGCAGGTATTAAAGATTTCAGCATGGAATTTAGCTTTATATGATTATCTAACATCTGTCATTTATTCTGTATTTATTTTCGTATGCAGCATTACATCAAACTTAGCGACTTGGAGAAGAATCGCAAACTAAATGACCTTCTGGATGCCTTGGACTTCAACCAGGTTGTAATTTTTGTTAAAAGTGTTAACAGAGCGGCAGAACTGAACAAGTTGCTAGTTGAGTGCAACTTCCCGTCAATCTGCATCCACTCTGGCATGTCACAGGAAGAAAGGTATGGACATGACTTCAGAAGTATTGTTGAATATTTATGATCTTGAATGCCTGACGAGGTTTGTTTCTAACAACTTTAGAAGTCATTCTAATTTAAAAAAGTATTTTGCTAAATTAATTAAATTATTTAAAGGGAATTTACTAAGGTCAATTTAGTTTTGATTAATTATTTAGGTGTTTTTCATTTATTTTTTAGTAGTTTAAATTATTTTACAAGTTCATTTTTTGTTCATGTTTTATGCTTCCATTTGAAATTTTGATGCTGTAGTTCCATATTAGATGATTATCTTGATAGTTTCTACGGTAAGTGGTAATAGAAATTCTTTTCAATTTCATTGTCAAATGAAGGTCTTTGAGATGGAGTATATGGGGGTTTGGAGCAGATGGTTAGGATTTATATATGTTTATGAAAGTTTATAGTGTCATGCCAATTTAACGTATAAATTTTCAGTCACTTCATGTCCACTTTCAGCTTGAATCAAATCTCTACAACCTAGCGGTTTTTAACAGAAACATCTCTCTGAACATTTTTTTGGATGAATGTTTGCTTTAGAACTTGACATCACCAGCTCTTCCTACTTAATGGTAATAATATGCAATAAGTATTACTCGATCCAAATGATTAGGTTTCTTCATGACCCCAAAGGTGTGCGCCTAATGGCTTAAGTGTTGAAATGCTTAATCTCTTTTTTCTCCTACTCTCCTCATTTGATTAAATTGTCAGAAAATGTTTTGCACATAATTATTACTAATCCAGTTTCTTGTGCCAGTCCCGAACCACCGAAGGATTTTTCTATTTTCGTTTACTGCATGTGTATATGTTTTTGTTTCATATTGATATTCTTTGCAAGTATGGATTGGTCTATTTTTGAGCACTTGCAGGTTGACAAGGTATAAGGGCTTCAAGGAAGGACATAAGAGGATTCTTGTAGCAACTGATTTGGTTGGCAGAGGAATCGATATTGAGCGTGTCAACATTGTGATCAATTATGACATGCCAGATTCTGCTGACACATACTTGCATCGGGTATGATTTTCTTCAATTCGTTACTGCTCTTCCCTTGGTGGTATGATTATCTAACAAAGCATTACACAGGTTGGTAGAGCTGGTAGATTTGGAACAAAAGGGCTGGCTATAACTTTTGTCTCATCTGCATCTGATTCAGATGTTCTTAATCAGGTTAGAAGTTTTGGTAGAGGAGGAATTATTGTATTTGTACAAGACCATGTTAAACATTGAAACGAATGATTACATACATTCTACTCAATTCCTGTATATTTAAATATCAACACCTAAACTTCAATATTTTAACTTTTAAAAAACAAACTACTTTTCCTGCATAAATAAGGTGCCCTATTTATGCATCAAAATGTGGATTTCATTTTTGAAAAGCTAACATAGTGGTATTTTTGACGTGTTATGAAAAATTTGGGTGGTATAAATACCGGAATTGGGTGGTATAAATACCGGAATTGGGTGATATAATATGTAAATGCCCCAACCTTAAACTATCATACAACTATTTCACAGGTCCAAGCTAGATTTGAGGTTGACATCAAGGAGCTGCCTGAACAAATCGATACTTCCACGTACAGTAAGTTATCTTTTCTGGTCATTTTTGAATTTACTTTTGTACTTGCATTACTTGTAATAAATTAAATGGATCAGAGTGGAATACTATTAGTTTCTTACCAAAGATCACTCGAGTTTGAGCTGACTATCAATTTTCATTGAAGATAACTAATTATATGTAGGATGCCAATGACTTTTAATGTATTCGTAGTTTAACTTCATGCTGTTAATTTTATCACAACGGTAATATTTTAAGTTCATTCTATATCCTTTCCTCTTTTTTTTCGGCCAGACATAATTTTTGCTTTGTGTTTGCAGTGCCGTCTTAAAGGCTCTGAGAGAGGTGGAGGGAAGTAACGGCGTTTCCAGCTTATGCGCAAGGTGAATTGAAAGCATCATGAAGCACTCTAGAGGACCTATGAATCAATGAACTATAATTAAAAAGACTAAAAAACTAGAGCTAGTTTTTTAGGTTGTGGAACCCCGAGCCTTTTAAGCAATTAAGCTCATATTTTTAATTTTATCGGAGATGTTCCTGTGTTGTTTTAAATGAAATTAGATCAAAATTGTGTTTTATATTTGCTTGTTTTTTCTTAAACACCCGGCTTTAAGCTTTTGCTTGACTGCGTGTTTTATCAATTCTCATGCAGTTATATTTATCTGGAAAGTTTGTTTCAGCCACTCACATATGATTCGATTAGAACAATAGATCTGTGAAACTTGACGGCTGAATCAATTACTGTAGGAGTGATTGATTTGGGAGTTGATTTTAAGTGCGAGAAATGTTGTTTGAATAACATACTTTGTGAGATTTATTTGTGTGTAGCATGTCTTATTATATGAATTTTATTTAATTTAAATGATATACAAATCGTTATTATTGAATATTCAATTAGATATCGATTGATTCTTTAAATCTTCTTTCCTTGTGATGTATGCAGACCGAGTATTTATTAAATCAATCGGGCTCCTTGATTTTAAAGAGGTTATATTCTTAGTTGAATCTATTCAGTTTTTAACTTTCTATTAACAAATAAGGGCGTTTACATGCTTAGCAGGAACTTCTAATGGATTTGCATGTACCAAACCTAAGCTTTCACATGTACCCATGGCACTCAAAATTTTATTACATTGTTAATGTACTATTAACATTTGCATGTGCATGAAAAGGTATATTTCTTACAAAAGGTTACAAGTTTAGGTATGATGCAAAAAAATTACATATGTTAACATGCATATTTCTACGTAAAATTTTGTGGCTAAGTGAGTTACATATACGCATGCAAGCAATTCACATGCCCTTCAAAAAGCCGTCCATAACAATGCAAAAAAGTTAATGATCAAATGGTGGTCGATTTTCTCACCTTTTTTTAGTAATTATTCCTGTAATCATTGGTTCGAATGAAATCATATTTATCAACCTCAATAAATCCTAAATCTATATTTATGAAGTAACAACATTTTATCTCAATTTAGGTGATGATCACTATTTTTCATGACAAAGTGGCCTATAAATTTAAATTGTGGTATTGATCCTACATTTTATTATTTAAATTGTCCACTTATTCGAGTTGTAGGAGGTACTATAGTGGGACTAATTTTTTTTAAAAAAAATATACATTTATATTAAGGTGTTCAGATATGATTTATAGTTTATATTGTGATACTAATGGAGTTAAAAGGGAAAGGCTTAAGAAAGATCATAAAAGTCAAGTATAGGTTGATTTGGAAGGTCATTTTTTGAATTGAGAGCAAAGTAGAGTAAATGGCAAGTATTGATTTTGGATGGCTATCTTAGAATGATAACTTGTAAACTGAAGTAGTGTAGAATTTAGTGGAATTTAATGGTCTGTATTGGTGTAGGGACCACTTTACTTAATTTGGATAAAAAAATTAAATGTGGGGTTTATTGTGGTTATGAGACAATGATGTTTAGGATGTGGAGGAAGATGTAAAAATGGCTTGAATCAGGTGTGAGAAAAAAAGTAATTTAAGAAAAAAAGAAGAAAGCTGCCCATTTTACCAACGGAAGACTAATTATTGAAGCTTCCAAGTACAAAAAAATTGATTCAATTCATTAATTTTCTACCAACATATTTAATTCAACATCAAAAAATTTTAAGGCAAATTAATTCATAATTTCAAGCATCATCAAATCCTTTAGTTATTTGTTTTTAAGGATAAAATTCAATGGAAAAGAGGGCACTAAATAACATTTCTTGGTGGATCTAATAAATAAAATGAATTGTCCATGAAATATAAATTAAGAGGCCTTCCAAACATAATTAAAATGTGAAAAAATGAAAATGAAAGTAAATAAAGAAATAAAAATTATATGCAAATAATTTATCTTTGGCCTTAATCATGGGCCCTTATTCTTACACTTTTAAATTCTTGAATTGTTGCCTTTGTTGTAATTGGTCTTATAGTCTAACTAATTTGATTTGACAAACTAATAAATACATTAAATCTTTTGATCAAATCCTAGAATTTTAAAATGTACAGTTCCTTGTAAAAAAATGAAGAGAATAAACAAGTTTTATTGTTTTTGAGGTATTTCTTAATTAATTTTAACTTTTTAAAAGTATCTTATACATTTATTTAGAAGCGTTATTTAAAATAAATAATTCCTAAATGGGTTTGAACTTTCTTATGTCCACATGGAATTTCTAAATGTTTATAAAAGGTGTATGGATTAAATTTTATGAGATTTGAGAATCATTAGCTTAATCTATTAAATTCTTAAATCATAAAGTTCTTAAATTGACTATTAAATGGCCTAGTAATTCCAAAGTTCATATTTACAAAAATTAAAATCATAAAATAAAACTTAAAGCTAACATACTACCAAAAATCAATTGATTAATATAATGTAGATATAAAATATATCATTAAACAAATTAATTAGAAAACCATATTTTGAATTAAATAATTAAGGAAATAATGCTAGTTTACAAATTCTTTTTAACTTTTAATCTTGATATTTAGGTCATCATTAGCCATTTTTGGAAATTTTGATGACCTTTGGAGCTTATAGAATGTAAATCATTATTAGGAATGCCATAGGGCCCTTTTGGTTAAGCTTGGGTTGAACCCAGTCTAACCCAAGATTATTTAGAACATTTAACCTAGTTTGACCCATGATTATTTAGAACATTTAGTTATCTTTAAGAATTAATCAACTTTATTTATTCTGTAAGGACTTTGAATGAGTTTAAGATAACCTTTAATTGCCCAAGTTCGTATCCTTTAAGCCTCAAATTTTTAAATATACTTTCTTAGTCCAAAGAAGTAAATTTCCTTCAAACTATAAACATAAAACTTTAATTTCAATTAAAGTTAACATTAGGCGCATATGCTATAGTTAAAAGTTTAAATAATCTTAAATCCAAAATCTTTATGCTGATTTTCTTGGCTTAATCAAGCAAATGCCTCCTTATCCCAAGATCTAAAGTTCAGTGCCAACTTACTTTGGCCAAACTAGCATGTAGCTTCACATCTTAATCCCAAGGCTTTTAGTCCACATGCTTGGTCTAATCAAGCAAGTACCTTAATCAATCCTAATCCTAAAATCTTAGTCCTTGGTTTCTTGGCTCAATTTTGCCAGAGGTATTCTAATCTCATTTTCATAGTCTAAAGATTATTTGTATAACCTAATTAAGTAAATGAAATCATAGACATAAGCCCAAAGTTTTAGTCAGACTTGCTTAGACAAACCAAGAAAGTACCGTCTCAACTCTATGTCAAAAGCTTTAGGACCACTTAAATATTGTCCAAATCAAACAAGCATTTTTTTAACTTTAATGGTTGATTTAACAATCTAAGTCAAACTCTTAGGTTGTTCACTTATCCACATTTATCAAGTGAACTCTTTCCTTCATATCAACATTATCACCATATTAAATTAAATAAAATTTTACACTTTTAGGTTTCTAAATAAATATTTATAGATATGATTTCCTAAAATAATTAATCAATTTTTGTTTAGTCTTGGGTGAAGCACGTATGCAAGTTTACTTGAATGAATAAAGTAAACTTCGTTTGCTTGTCTAAGTAATAAATGGTTCATCTGACACTATCTCAATTAGATGTTATGGAAGATAACATTATTTTTAGTGATAAAATAAACAAATTAACCTAATATGTGAATTATATATGCCATGATAGCTTAAGACACCATCAAACATAGGGGGTCTAAAATGCTCATGCAACTTCATTATAACCTCCAAAAGTATGTTACCCCTCATTCTCAAATCTAAAATAAAATTTTAAGCTACAAACTACTTAAAAAATAACCACCCATAATATTTAATTAAATCATCTCTAAATCCAAAACTGAAATACCACATTATGAAGTAGTGTCATTAACATGACCTTGCATACATTATAAGTTATGATAATAAAACTACTAGGCATCCCAAGATTAGAGTGTAAATAGATTATTTTCTTGTGTGTCATATAATGTTTGATAAGTTTATTTATATAGACGCACCTAAGTATTTCAAGATAAAAGATATTGTCTTTGCAGATGATCGTGTCAAAAGAGATAAACAATATTAAATAAATATAAGGTACCTTTCTGCTATGATATATAATGAAAGCCTAAAGTTGGGTCAAACTGAGTAAGTAGTGGATACATAGGACTGGCGACGTTAAACCAAGCGTTTTGTGGGAGGCAACCCATTGTTATAGAAAGGATTAAATTTAGTTTGTTTAGATTTGATTGTGTGTATTTGTTTGATTGTATTTTGTGTTTGAGAGTCGCACATGTGTTGTTACTACCTAAATCGCTATAATTTATGACTTAAGGGAGGTTAGAACTTGTATTTGGACCTAACATGAATCAGTGTTTAATTGTGCACTGGCACGTAGGTGCCGAGATCTGGTGCCTAGGTGCCATATTTACAAAATAGCTATTATGGTGGGTTTTCAATTTTTTTGACAGATTTCTCCATTAAAAACCTTCAAAACATTAATTTCATTTCGTTCTTCATCAATTAGAAGGTTTGGGAGTAAAGGAAATCTTGAGATTTCATGGATTTTAATGCTTTGACAAGTTCAACTCATGGAGATTTTGATCGGAACGGAAGAAGTTCATAAGCAAGGATGCACAAAGGCTTCATGATAGAACTCAGGTAAAGAAGAAATTGATAAGATAAAGAGGGTTCATTATTCTTGGAGGGCAAGTAGAGGCAATTATTACATAGAGATGATGGAAAGTGTTTCATTACACCTATGTCGCTACCATTATCGCTATCATGAAGGAATTCTACTCAAATCTTCGTGGATTAAATCATAGGTTGGTCTATTTTTGAAGTAAGTACCTTTTACTCCTTCAAGGGTCAATGAGTTGTTCTTGGCGGATGACGTACCAATTTGTAAATTTTCTAACTTCACTCCAACTAGAGACAATTTGACTGAGATCTTTAGATTCTTGACGGACAACAAGGAACATTGAAAATTGAAAAGTGATTCAAAGGTTTGCAAGATTAAATTCATCATTTAAGCCTAAACACTTTTTTATTTATGCCAAAATTGCTTCCTACCACGAACATAAATGAAGTGACGAAAGAAAGCACAATCCTAAATTACTGCATTTAGACGAAAAGACATATTGATGTGGGGGCACTTATTT